GACGCAGTGACCTAGGTTTAGGGACACTGGGGGTGGGGGTGGGGTAGAAAGGAAAAATGGGAAACACATATGCTCTTATTTCATTGTGTACTTTATGAAATTCTCAATAAGGGAATTATTATTATTTTTTTAAATAACAGAATCAGGAGACATGCAATGAAATAGGCCATAAAGAACAGCTTCTGAAAGGGCATTAACACTGGAGATGTAAAAATTCTGCAAAGGTTTCCTATGATGGTAATTTCTAGTGATATACTGTAAATGTAACATAACTGAAACATCACTTTTATAGTGGTACTTTCCCTGTTACAAAGCTACCTAAAGGTTGTCATGTAATGATGCTTGTTTAAGTCATCTAAAACAAAGTAGCCACATGCAAGAGAACTGTAACTAGGCAACAGCTGATATACATATCAGACAGCCATTTCAGAAAAATAAATCATTTTAAGACACTATATTTATTGTGGTTTCTTATGCAATTCAGTAAAACAATTTACATTTCCTTATGTTTCAGTGCCTTCACTTTTAAATGAAAGGTCAGGGGAAACAAGCTCTAAAATTATATCCAACTCACTGATATAGTCTTCAAGTTTCAAGAGGTTAGATGGAATTAAAAAGTTATCAGAATTAAGCAAAGTTTTAGAGTGCTCAGGAGGCTTCCTGTTCAACAGAATACACACACACACACACACACACACACACACACACACACACTTTCAACTTGCTTTGAAACCACTAAAATGACTGTGAAGGAATAAAAATGACTTAATCACAAAGTCAAAAGAACACACAAAAAACCAGTACAGCCACATTTCAACATTTTATAATACTAACTGTAGACAGTGATAAAAGACTCTGAAGGTCAAATGAAGCAGTGAGGCAAATAAGAAACATATTACGCATTTAAATCATTCCAGAAAGGTTCAATATTGGAGTTACAATGACATTTCTCAAAGTGAAGGTGTAGGGGAAGAATACAAAAGTTTTCTAAGTAGTTTGACATTGGTCTGGTTAAGTACATGCCTATAACCCCAGCATCAGGGAGCCTAAAAAAGGGAGGATTTAGTTTTATTTTTAGGTCTGCCTGGGCAAAAACAGAAAAGATTCTATATCAAAAAAAGTGCTGTTCATAGAGATCCCATGCTACCATGTGTTTTATTATTTACAAGAAATAAAACAAAGCTCATCACCCAATCCCAGTTAGCAAGATATAAAAAAATTTCTCTTTAAAAACAATGAACTGTTCAATGGAAAAGCCATATCTACATTATTTATTTTTTATATTAAGACAGGGTCTAAAACCATGTAGTGCAAGTTGGCTTCAAACCAAGATTCTCATGCCTGCTAGAAATTACTAAATGCTACTACTAGGCTTGCATCAAACTCCTACTTTCAAAAGGTTCTTGGCCCACATTATTAATGAGAGAAAATAAAGACCAAGTCATCCACACACTTCTACTTTGCATTTTCACATTATACTAGAACAGTAATGTGAGAGCCCTGTCTTTTGAATACCACTGAAAAAAATCTTTAAGAATAGATAGTAATTGTCTTTGTATGCTAATGAATAGACTAGGGCCTAGTAGTTTATGGGTAGCTTTAGGACAGTGAACACTAAGATTATGGCATGATGAACATCTGTCACTTTTCTCCCTCACCTACAGTGAGGGAGCTGGGGCTTAAGTTAGCTACCCACTAACAGCCAGTGATTAAATCAATCATACCACTTAGTGAAGCTTTCAGGAACATCACCCCTCTCAACCCCACTCCAAGAACTGGATGAGCAAACACAGGTTCCTGGAGGGTGGTCACCAAGACAGGGTTGTCCTATACATCTATAACCTTTATAATTTCCTTTATATCCTAGTTGTTTCTCCAAGTTCTATGAGTCACTCTAGCTAGCCCAATGAAGAGAATATAGAAATATTTTAGTGTTGGTAGGAATGACTAGCAGAAAAACCAAGAACATGAGATTGGCATTGGAGGTGGTGAACAATTCTGTGGGAGCAATCTGTGAGATGGGATGCTACCCCCATATAGGCAGTACTGGAACTGGGTGTCAAAATGAATTCAACTACAGCAGTGGTTCTCAATCTGTGAGTTGTGACCCCTTTGGGGGATGGATGGGAGTTGACTAACCCTTTCAAAGGGGTCCACCTATAAGATATCATGAATATTACATATTTACATTATGATTCCTAACAGTAGTAATTATAGTTATGAAGTAGCAATGAAAATAATTTTATTTTTGGGGGTTACCATATGTGGAACCGATTAAAGGGTCACAGCATTAGGAAGGCTGAGAACCACTGAACTAGAAGAACCCCAGCTAGTGTCTTATACAGAAAAAGACCAGCTGCTTGGCATACAAAAAGAACAAATCTCTACATAAACCTGTGTTGTTTATCCTTTATTTTGAGAATTTAAGATTTGTTGGTCCTACATTGTCAGAACCAGAAATTTGTGGAAAGTTAAGAAAAGACAAAAACAACACTCACCCAAAACAAACAAACAAAAACCTTTGTTCACACAATTCTGGAGACAGGCAAGTCTATATAAAGATGCCAGTCCTGCCTTCATGTACAGGGGGATCACATGGCAAGAACAAAAAGATGGAAGCAACCGAGAGCTTAGAAAGCCATAGGTATTTTAAGTCATCCCAGTGATCACCAACATATCCAGTCAAGAACAGAAGTTTCATGGTTAGTTAATTCTTAGTATTAATATGCTTGTGTTGTAGTGCATAGCTGTCAGCTTGAACATCAATCTCAATCAGTTGAAACACTTTAAGTTTTGAGAAGGGATTCAATCGCAAGGCTATCAGAAACATCAAATTTCCAGCCTACAATTTAGATTAAAAAGTCTAAAACCAACAACTAACTTAATTTCTACCTTGCTGGTTTGATCCTGGGTTTCTCAAATTTTTAACTGACAAGTAATTATATTTAGTGGTGTAGCAAATGCTTCTAATTTAACCTTGTCTCAGCACCTACTTCAAATGCATACTTAGCATTATAGTAACATTCAACCATGAATCTTGAGGTTTTTTGTTTTTGTTTTTTGTTTTGTCTATTTGTTTATTTTTAGAGACAGGGTTTCCCTGTGTGACCCTGGTTGTTCTGGAACTCACTGTATAGACCAGGCTGGCCTTAAACTCAGATCTACCTGCCTGCACCTCCCAAGTGCTGGGATTAAAGAAGTGCAGCACCACTGCCCAGACAATTTCCAGTTTTTAATTCCACATGCAAAATTCGTTAAGAGTGTAGCCACAGATAAAATCCCCAGAGATGTCTCGGAAAGCCTGCAATCCTATGAACTTCCAGGTCACTCCTGCTCCTAATCCTCAACAGTTCCTGTTTGTTGCTCACTCTCCCTTACTATGCTAACCTTGTTTACCTAAAGCACTACCCACCCTCCAGGGTCTAAAAACTCCTTCAAAGTGTGGTTTTCTACAGGTAAGACATAAGAGGAAGCAAATCCACTCTGCAAGGAACACATGCAGGTGGATCCTTGGTTGCTGCTCTTTTGTCCCAGCCTTTGGTGATTGCCAGCTAAGCTGGAGAAACTTGAAAGTTATACACAAAGCATGAACAAAATGTGTTTTATATTATAAAGCTCCAATTAAGCTAACTAATGTAACTGCCAGTTTACTAATTTACCATTTTTGTGTGAGTATTAAAAATGACTTTAACAATCCTAAAATGTCTATTACATCATTACTTACTATACTAAAGTGCAGTACAATAAAGCACTGAAATGTACGCCTGCAGTCTAAGCAAAACTTGTACCCAATCATCAACAGATTGTTTCCCCCAAATTCTTAGCTTCTAGCAACTATTCTACCACTTATATACAACTCATGAGAGGTCAGGCAGTGGTGGCACATGCCTGTAATTCCAGCACTCGGGAGACAGAGGCAGATGGTTATCTGTGAGTTCAAGGCCACCCCCCCCCCCCCTGGCTAAAGGAGAGTGACAGAGTCTAAATGAGAAACAGAGCTCCCACCTTTGATACCAGCAATTTGGGATCCCACGCCTTTAATCCCAGCACTAGAGAGGAATATAAGACTGGAGGGGACACGAGCAGTCTAAGCAGTCTAAGATTTGGTGGAGACAGATGCAGTCAGATTTAATCTGAGACAGTATCACTCACACCTTTCAATCTGAAGTAGAGGTTAGAACTAATGCCTGAGCTAGTGGCTGGCCACTTTGATTTTCTGATCTTCGGCTTTAATCCCAATCTCTCTTTCTCTGGGTTTTTTTATTCGTGCCACACTCGTGTAACATTAAAGTAATACAGCAGCATTTGTCTTTTTGTGCCTGGCCAATTTCAAGTAATGTTCTCTACTTCTATCTGTAAAGAATTTCCTTTTTGCTAACAGCTATGGGGTATTAAATTACATAACATACATACTTTTTGATGTTCTTGTTTGCTGGAGACAAGGTTTTACTTTGTAGCTCAGGCTAGTCTAGAATTTGTGGCAATGCTTTAAGCCATCTGAATGCTGGGATTTACAAATATGAGCCATATGCACATCTATAAACATTAAACAATAAAACCCCTACAACAGTTATAATGACAAACTCACAATGAAATTATCAATTCAAACTTATAACTAGTATCAAAACAAATGGTTCAGTGTTAGTGATGATCTAGAAAAAAAGGATACCACACTATCAATGGATGTAAATTAGCAAGCTAATCTGAAAAATGGTAAGGAGGTTTCTTTTTTCTTTTCTTTTTTGGTTTCCCTGTGGCTAAGTTTAAAAAAGTAGAGTGGCTTTTAAGTTATAACCCATTACTGAGTTTCTAAATTCAAAGACATTGTATTTTCCAAATCTGCTTCTTATGCCATCTAAACAGATTCTAAATCTTCCAGTAGGGCCTACTACACAAATCACCTTCGAATGGAAAGCACTGAATAATCAGGCTGAACTGTAGTGCCCTTTTAATTAGACTACAAGACAGAGCTTTTCATACGTGGAAAGGAAGAATCTTACCTTTATCACTTGCTATTTTTTCTATGCACCTGAAAGAAATTAAGAGTCAAATGTTAAATTCTGTGAATTTCCTTAAAACACAAGTATTTATTTTATTCACTTCTAGAATAATACAGAAAGCATCTACAATATGCTGTTCAAAGCAAAGCCTAATTTTCAGCTGCAGTAGAAATACCCTATCTGTACTATACTATGGCACTGTATCTGAGGAAGTCAAATTTTTTATATTGATTAATGTAAACTTAAAGAGTGGCTACAGAATATCATCTAAAATTGTTCTTAATCATTAAAAAAACACAAGGAAAATGTTGCTAATTCTATTAAAAGTGGTTATGCAAGAAAACAAATGTCCTTATTTTATTTATGTACAGTAAATAAGACTAAAATGACAACATATGAGCCAGGCGTTGGTGGTGTACACCTTTAATCCCAGCACTCGGGAGGCAGAGGCAAGTGGAACTCTGTGAGTTCGAGACCAGCATGGTCTCCAGAGCAAATGCCAGGACAGGCTCAAAAGCTACATAGAGAAAGCTGGCAGGTCTCGAAAAACCAAAAGGAAAAAAAAAGAGTCAACATGAGGTGTGCTCTAAAACACTTCTGTCTAAAAAGGGGACAGGGAGGCAGATGTAGCAAGGGTGGTAAGATGTCAGTTAACTCTCATCTCACTGATAAATATTGAGGTTTTGCTACACAACTATCTCTGCTATGTATTTACTGAACAATTTTACTAACAAAATTTATTGAATTTTAATAGTTCCTAAAATTGGTTACTAAATCCAATAAAAATTTCTAAAAAGGCAATATATACACATTCCAAATAAATATTACTTATACTTTACAAATTAAATGCAAGTAAAAAGCTCAAACGTTATAAGCCTGACTTAAAATACAAATCCATTCCCATGATTTTAATTTGGAATAACTTCTATCGAAAGTAACTGGAGATACAGTATTGTGAATTCCATACCCCTTCCCTAAACCCAGAAGTAAACTGGCTTCCTATTTCTGTCATAAAGATACACATATATCTAGCAGCATAAAGATTGCAAATAAACTCAATGCAATTAAAGGATGTTTTGTGAAAGAACAGCTGTCATCTTTTATGACTCATTTTTAAACGCTCAGTAACTATAATGACTCGACTTTAGTTCTGTTACAAACTTGACAATTGGCAAGTAATTGTGAACCACCTTTACTTTAGTAAATGGAGCACTAAAAACACACCTGTTAGATATGTTTTTGAAATAGTTCAAAGTTTCTACCACATCCTGACTGCCTGCCCCCTAGGATCCTGACCACTTAGGAGTCCAGTGATGTGCAACTGAAGTCTTCTAGAAACAAAAAGCTTGTGTTTGTCTATTCAGAATATTCACCTCATCCATCCTTCTTACTATCCACAACCCTTCAAGCAAACACAGAAAAAAAAAAAAACCCAAAAGGTTTATTGCTATTTTAGTTTTGATAAAAAAACAAAAAACAAAACTCAAAAAACCCCTTCACAAAGAAGTCTGAACTCCATCTACCAGAGAGTAAAACAACCCTCCTTCACTTGTCATTCATCTGAACCAAAAGCCTTCCAAAAAAAAACTCTTCAAGGATTAGTTTGAGAAGGCTATGTAACAGCCACATTTTAAGTTTCAAGACTTATTTGCTAAAGAGTTTTAAAATCTGGAATGAACAGATATCCAATTTTATATATAAAGATATTTTGCCTCCTAGCCTACTCTTAACTTGATTTCACCGTTTTGCACATGGGTATTTTAATTTATTAAAAACAGAAAAGTCAGGCGGGGTGGTACATGCCTTTAATCAAAGCACTTGGGAGGCAGAGGCAACTGATACATCTGTCACTTGGAGGCACAGTATGGTGAATATACAAAGTTCCAGGCAAGGGCTACATAGTAAGACCTTGTCTTTAAAAAAAGACATAAAGAAACAGAAAAACCAAAACCCAACCAAACACTCTAAAAAAGAAGAAAAAACATATAAGAAACAATAAGTCAAAGGGAAAAAAAGTATATCCTTAACCTTCAAATTATACCACCACATGCTTCTTTAAGTACTTCCATAACTAAAATACAGAAAACAATGAGCTTAATTCTTAAATAACATGAACACAAGCTTTGTATAAATTGACTTTAAATCACTAACTACTAGCTATTTAGGTATTTGTGTACAATGAATCTAGTATTTAACTATGCCTTCCTCCTGAACATATTCACTGAAATTCATTTCCGGCATTAATATTTTGTATTCTTTTAATTCTCAAAAACTTGAATGTGAAAAAGTTGTTACACAGTTAAGTTTATGAAAGTATAACCTATCATTCAGCTGTAAAGCTCCTGTCACAAACTCAAAACATCCATGATAGAGGATGCTGGTGACTCGCTTACTCAATCAAGTGAGCAGTACAAGGCAAGACATCAACTTTTCAGCTTGAACATCAAGTTCACGCTTTTTTCCACTATATAATTTGCCTTCCATTAACAACACAGTGAATATTCAGTGAATATGTTCAGGAGGAAGGCATAAAGTTAAATGCTAGATTCATTATACACAAATACCTAAATAGTTGATCCAAATCTATGTTTTTGATATTTTAAACAATTTTGTATATTTTGCTATTTCTTTCATTGAGGGAAACAAATACAGGTTAATAGCTAATTACATGGGATTCGTAGGTTTAAAAAATGCAGAGATATGGAAAATGAATGAAAAAGTAACTAGGGAGGGAAAGATTTAAAAAGATCAAATAATTAGTATAGATATTAAATTTCTCATCTCCTTTTTAAATTTTTATTTGGAAGAGACTAATCAAGGTCAGAATTCAGTACACTGACACTCAAAACTGCATGTCTCAAAGGATTAAACAGAAAAATGAGTTTCAAAATGTTTTGTCACAGAACATCTGTAAACCATGTACATAAGTTTCTTGAGTGTTAATCAACATTCGCTTCCTCAGCAAGGTCCTTGAAGACAAGGCCAGGACAAATTTAATTTTCTATTGCCTAGAGGAGTAACAATACTAGTCCCAGTTACTTTTCAAACAAGGAATGCAAAGGTGGAAATGTGTTGAGATTCTTCTGATTTGTAGGACACAGAGCAAGTGAAATGTGCAATAAAAATGGAAATTCATTTTAAGAATAACAAAGTTGTATAGTATTAAATACACGTGCAAGGGCAAGTCTGAAGGCAAAAGAAGGTATAGTACTATACTTTATAGTACTATATATACTATAGTACTCATATAGTAACTATAGTACTATATGAGAAGAAATATTAAGATTGCTTCTTCCCTTCCATAATGAATATTGTGATAAAAAAAAAACCAAGCAGGCAAGCAGTCATATTCATCCAAGATCAACTGTTTCCAAAATTACATTGTGGGATTTAAAATACTTGTTCATGTAAGATAACACAAAGCCATGCAGCTTTACAAAACTGACACAAAACCACCACTACAAAGTACTCCTGTCTCTGTTAGGCCATCAATACTCAAAACAGCCATTTGAATTTAGCATTTTGCTGTGTGAGACGCTGTGTAAAATGGTACCACAACGTATTTATTACACATAAACTCAAGTCATAGAGGTTAACTCCCCATATAACTGTGCACAGATGAAGAATCCGAGGTACACATAGGTTAAAGACTTTGCCTATGGAATTTATGTCCCAATTAAGATGAATGATTTACAGCTTTTCAAGTTAGTGAGTTAAATACATAACAGTTTAAGATTTTCCTAAGCACGTACACACAACAGTTACAACTCTCAATTCAGCATAAAAATTTGTAATCACAAATTTAATTTTGAAACAAAATGGCTTTTAAGTTTTAAAAATGCCCTAGGTCTAAGGTAAGAAAAGCCGCTGCACTGCTACTGGGAGGTTGCAGTTATCTGAAACTCGAAATCCTAGCCCTTCGATTTTCTGTCCCCCTTTCCCATTTGTAAATCAAATGACATACAGTTCTCAACAATGAACAGCTAATTTGATTAAAACGTGTAACTTTATTTTTAATTTAAGCATTACTCTATTGGGCAATTTAAAATATTTATGTTCCTGGCAATCTGTTAAGGGCCTCTATTAGTTCAAGGTAGTAATTCCTCTCAATCTGAGTACTACGTCAAAATACACGCATAAAGAAAAAGTACATACAATGTTTGGTAGGTAATAAGAACTACACGTCTAGTTTGGTCACGTAAAGTATAAGTGGCATAGTCACGTTTTCATCCTGACGGTAAAAAAATGAACGTGACGATTTAGGAGGACGAGGAAAAGGCTACCTCTTGAGTGGCTCGCGGGCTAGTTGATAAATAGGGTCGGGCAAAGACACTCTTCAGGGGTTATAGTACGGTGCTGTGGGCTTCCTCGCGGGGACCTGATCTGAGACTGGAAGCGACAGGCTGACAAAGGGGGCGCACAAGCCAGCCAGAGCGAGGGCTGAGCAGGCGGGAGGCGGAGGGCAAAGCAGCCTGCACAGGGTGACTTCGGGCGTGGGCTGGTGGCCGCAGGCTGCCGAGCCAGCCGCAGGAGCCCGGGGCCGCCAGCGGCGTGACATCTGGCGTGCCGAGCCGGCAGGGGGCAGAGCAAGCGGGGTGTCACGTGGAGCGGGTGCTACGGGAGCCGGGAGGGTAGTGAGGATCAGAGGGGGGTCTTCCCCAAAGCCTCAAAGACTGTTACTCACTGGAGTCGCGGACTCTTCTTGCCCTGAGCAGGAGACTGGGGCTTG